AGGACTGATAGGGCGGCAGCACTGAGCTGGCCTTATCTGGTGGGAAAACCACTCCAGCCGGTGTGCTGCTGACTAACATCTTCATCCGGCCTCCTGTGGCGCCGCACACACCTTGCTGCAGAAATACTACTGTATGTCATCGGCAGGGGCTGCCCAGACTACACTGGGGGTGTGACATACCCTTTTGAACTCCGAAAAATTCTGAAATTCAAAACATATTTCATCTGGAAGCCTTCGGATGAGGGACTGTGGCCCTATACGATTTACTTTAGGGAGGTCCTTTGAGTTTCAGTTTCTTTCTCAGTTAGCAGAGGAGCTGAACCACGGATCTCAGTGGTTCCTTCCTGCTGTTATCCCCTGAGGCTAATCCAAGACATGTCAGCATCATTATTATTAGCAAGGGAGAGAGGCAGATGGAGAGGGAGAAGCAGGCTCCCTACGGAACAGGGAACCCGACACGGGGCATGATCCTAGGACTCCGGGATCATGACCTGACCAAAGGCAGACGCTTAACTGAGTGGGCCACCCAGGCATCCCTTGTTATTTCTTTTAAATTTAGCATCATTGCTTCTGAGTCAGACTTTGGGTGTCACTGTTTGCTTCCTCTGCCCACCATGGGCTGGAGGCCAAATGGCAGTGAGGGGCACTCCCAGGTTGGACCTTTGCCTCCCCAGGCCTTCTGGAACCCAGAGAGGGGCTGTGGAGGGCCCCTGGTGACTGGCAACCAGAGGGAGCAGCCTCAAGCCACTACCTGGAACAGGGGCAGAGGAAGGAGCAGGGAGGCTCGCTCAGATAATCCAGCCCCAAGGATCATAATCCGGTCCTTGGGAGCAGGGGAGGGATCGTCCAGGGCCGGCCTGGATTCCCATGCAGGCACCGAGCCAGACAACCAGGAGGCCAAGGCTTAAAGTAGGTGTCCTGAAGGGCCTCAGAGTCTGTGAGGAGTTGCTGAGTCGGAACACTGTGGGGTCTGGGGAGCCGGAGAGCTCTGTAGTCAGCAAGGCCTGGGATCAGTGTGAGTGAAACTGGTGGGACTGGTGAGGCCTGGAGGCAGGGACCAACCATCTCCCACAAAGAAGGAGCTAGAAAAACCTGCCACCACCCCCTTCCCCCATTCCTCAGCTTCTTCCATGAAGCAACCACCAAGGGGCAAGTACAAGATCAAACACAGCCTCTGCTCCTCCGCACACAGCCCTCAAGCAGCGGCTCCTGTGGGCTCAGGCAGCTGTGGGGGCGGCGGGGGGGGGGGGGGGGGGGGGGGGGGGGGGGGGGGGGGGGGGGGGGGAGGCGGCGGGGGGTGGGGGTGGTGGCAGACAGAGGCAGGAGTGGAGCCTGGGCTCCATGGGGGGAGGAGGAGGGCTTGGCCTAGACCCCAGGGCAGGAGGGAGAGGAGAGCCCGTCTAGGTGAACACTGGCAGAGTCCTGCCCCTCTGAATTCCCCTTGAGCCCTTCCTCGGGCGGGGGATGGGGTGGAGTAGGGTAAGCCAGCACCATGACAGCCCAGGGGGCTCTCACTGCAGTTCTGGACATTTCTGTCAGTACTGGGCCCTTCTGGAATAGGATGGAAGGTTGGACCTTGCCCAGGAAAGGGCAATAACTCACAGATTGTGTGGGAGCCGCACGCAGCTGGGATGTGGGCATGGCCCCGTGCATGGAGTGGACAACCTGGGCAGGAAGCCTGGCCCAGCTGCTCACTCAAAACCACTCCCCAAGAGAAGAGTGAACAAAGTACCTCGCATACCTTAGGCACTTCATGCATGCTGCTCTCTAAGGACTCTCAGCACTGGTTTTTAAACCCAGTAACCTAGGGGTGTGATTTCCTTGGGGGCGATGAAATTGTTCTAATTAGCCGATGCTGCTGATGACTGCACACGTGTGAATACACTAATAACTACTGACTCAGTAGTGGGGACTTGACAGAAGAAGGGGTTCCTTGGCTTCCCTCCTGGCTCTGGCCCACAGCAGAGGAGCTCAGGCCGTTTCTCCTGAGGCAGGCCTGCTGCCACAGCCGAGGGTCCAGAAACAGCTCTGCCCTCAGGTTGAGACCAAGAATTCTACAGCCAGACGATATGGGTGAAAGCTCTGGCTCTATGTATCCCTGATTAGCTGTGTGACCCTGGGCAAGTTACTTACCCTCTCTGGGCCTCAGTTTCATCTGTATAAAAAAGATATTCATCATGTCTGTGTCATGGGGCTGCTGTGAGGACTGAATGAGTGACGCCGTGTCAGGGACTTGGCACAGTGCCTGGCACACTATGGAAATGACAGCCCTCCTGTTCTAGTACTGGGTTGAGAAGGTGGGCCTTGCTCCCTGGGGTCCGACATAGGTAGCGAGAGCCTAGGGAAGGGAGGTCTCTGGGAGGGCTGCGAGCTTGAGAGTCCTGCCTCCCTCGGAGCAGCAGAAGGCAGGGAGGGATGGGGTGGGAGGGTGTCTGACTGCCCCAAGAACCCCCCACCCCCCCACTCCCCCACCCAACGTACCTCAGGGAAGTTGCAGCTGGGCCACGGGCTGCGGCAGAAGCCCTGCTCGGCCCCCAGGCTGTAGTTGGAGGCCGAGGCCACCACATGGCACGCGTTGACCTGGCCAGTGCTGATGTTGTGCTCGTCCGCCAGGCAGCCCAGCAGGTTCTCCGAGTTACACGTGAACTGGGGGCAGGGGAGGGGCGGGTGAGCCGCGGAGTCCATGACATAGTAAGACTCACCTCCTACGGGGTGGCCCGTCCCCCCCGGACTCAGGGGCAGCCTGCCGTAGACCAGGGATGGGAGAGGAGCCTGGAAGAGGCCAAGGAGTGGACAAGGTCTGCCCGTCTGCCGGGCTGGGGCTCGTCAACCTCCCTGGGGAACACCTCTGGGTCCTTCCGGTTCCGCCAGCGTCGCGGGCAAGGGACCAAGAGCCTGTGTGAGAGGCTCCAGAGTCAGATCTGATTCTGGACCTGAGGTGAAGCCCTAGTAAGAAATCTGGGGGTGGGAGAACACCAGAGTCGGGGAAGGTTCTGGGAGGTGGAGCCGCCTACCATGTTGACGAAAGCCGACAGGAACACGAGGGTGATGGTGAACACACCGACCAGAGTGCTGTTCATCTTGGACCTCACGATCTTCCTGGAGAGGGTCTGCAGTGGGGCTGGGAAGAGCTGCCCCGGGGAAGAGAGCGAGAGAACAGAAGTCAGTGGGAGGCAGCAAATTGCCACAGGGGAGTTGGTGAAACCCACCCTCCTCCCCACCTCCACCCTCACCCAGGGGGCTTCCTGATGGAAGAAAGAATGCTATCTTAACCCCAACAGCGTGCAGGAAAAAGCACAGGGAATGTGCCATGTGAGCTGAGCTGGTCAGGATTACAGTCAGGGAGGGGCGGGAGGTGGCAGCTGGGTGGGCTTGAAGGGGCCCAGAACTTTCCCAGGGAGGGTCAGAAGGCTTGGTGGCAGGAGGAAGCATGGGTCTGAGGATTTGGAGAGGATCTGGGGTCTGGAGGGAGGGACGGGCTTGTGAGATGGGGGCAAAGTACGGTGTGAGCAGGAAGGTGGGACCCTGGACAAGTGAGTTCAGTGAACCTTTTTTCTAGGACTCTCACTGATCTCCTGTTTCCTCACCTAACCCTTCCTACATTTCCTTCAACTAGACAAACTGCATGTCCACTCAAAGACCCCCTGCGGCTCTGGTAATAAAATGACCCACTCCGCCAGATCTGACATTGGTAGCTTTGTCCACCATGCCCTCCTCATCTCCGAAGAAACCTAGATTTAAAAAGATGTTGGCAGACACAGAGAAACAAAGGGGTGGACTTGGGCTTCCCCTGCCCCTCCCACCTCAGTGCCTCCTGGTGAGGCTGGTCTGCTACACGAAGGCCAGGTGTCCTGTGGAAACCTGGAAGGGCAGAGGAGGGTGGGAAAAGTACTGGACCAGGAGTCTGGAGGGTTCTAGACATGGCTCTTCCTGTGCGGCCCTCAGCAAGTCACATCCCTTCTCTGCAGGCTCCCCATCGGTAGGACTCTCAGGGCCCTGAGCATCTATGCACATTCTGGCTGAGGAGGCCAGACTACAAGGCTCATCCCTCCTCTGATAGGCCAGGTGTCCTGTGGAAACCTGGAAGGGCAGAGGAGGGTGGGAAAAGTACTGGACCAGGAGTCTGGAGGGTTCTAGACATGGCTCTTCCTGTGCGGCCCTCAGCAAGTCACATCCCTTCTCTGCAGGCTCCCCATCGGTAGGACTCTCAGGGCCCTGAGCATCTATGCACATTCTGGCTGAGGAGGCCAGACTACAAGGCTCATCCCTCCTCTGATA